AAGGTGCTCAATGTGTGCTGCTTATCATCAGTCAGTGTGTACGTGGGGGGCAGAGAATAAGGGGGAGTTGGGGGAGGGGGGGTTAGGACAAAGCTATTTTTATCTGGATTCCATGTAGACAGCTGTCATCCTCCTGAGTGCGAGACTTTTCCTGCAGTTCCCATCCTCGGGAACAGTGACACGAGTTACAAAAATAACTGTTACTATCAAATATTTCTGTCATATCTTAGGTTTATTCAAAGTTAAAAATATATATTTGTCGGCTGTTAATGCTTTTATAGAGGCCATTTGTAAAGAGGGCGCTGAAAATCTCATAAGCTCATCCTCTTTAACTGAAAGCATTACAGACTCATTAACTGCCCTTGTGCTTCTCTAACCTCCACGTACCATCACATACATCTGGTGAGGATAACACATCATTGACTATGGACAGCAATATTCAGATTATTAACCTTATTCTGAATAAGACATTATTTTCGTTATGAAGTTTACATGAGTTGCAAATAGAAGATTTGCTTCATATTCCTGTTTACATGTTACGGAGCATAGTCCCGCTATCATTCATGTCCACATTACATCCTATTACTTGTTTGGACTCAAACCCAAGGACATGAGTCATCAAGTAGCTGGTGACCGTTGTATGACAATGTCGCAAAATTCTGTGAAAACTCCAACAAGACGTTATGCTGCGATTAAGGTGTTTACGTGTGTCTACGTAATGCAAGTCAAGTTTGAACACTCCACAAGCCATCACAGTGACTGGCCAACATTAAATAAAATGTAAAAATCTCAGCTGATATCATACAGACTTGTGGCTTCTACAGGAGCATCTACCATCACTTCACAATTGTGCAGCTTGTGGTAAGTCTACCTTGGATCGTTATAATATTATATCTCTATATCTAGCATATAATGCTGCTGTTCTGTTTCATCAGCCAAAGCCATAAAACTTCAATTTGTGTTGTTTTCATATGTTGCCAGGAAAAGCCAGTAGCTCCAGCCCACTCCTCATATCTATAAAAGCCTGTTGGGGAATGTGGATGGGACCACTTCAGCAGGTGTCTACGACGGGTCACATTATGACCCTGACATTCTCTTGCTGCTTCAGAGTTACCGGAACCTCTGCCTTCCCTTCCGCGAGAAAGAAGGATGACAGATAAGGTTGGACACAGTGACAGTGACATGCTCCACAGCCATAAGCTGGAAATCTAATGCGGTAGATGGCAGCCACATGCCGCCACAACACCGAGGCTCTGATACAAGCCATCGATCCCCATTAGCATTTCTGTCACAACCCAATTTAGCTGCATGTGTGAGTCAGTGAATCCCTGACTGAAGATGGAGAAATGAGCTGCATATCAAGAGGGATTTAGCATTAATTAGTGAACCATCTGAACATAGCCCAGGGCTAACTGCTATGCTATTCATGCCATCTCAAATTAAAGCTTTACACAGAAAAATTCTCAGATTTTATTTCCCTTTGTATCAAGAAAATACCATGTGGGGGTTTTAACCATGAGAAGTACTAAAACAAACTATGTCAAGATGCTTTACTCATATTAATTAAAATCAATCAAATTATTATGTTCCTCTTCTCTGCAAGATTATTTCTCAGGGATATAAGGATGAGGGCTTTGGAAAAGGTTTAAAGGTTTAAAACTTTCAGCTGCTGCTTGAATTCATTCCCAAGACCATTACGAAGTTACCCATGAGTGAATGAGTCACATCATGATCACAGTGTTGTCTTTTGTCCTCAATTTTCTGCAAGAAAATCAAACCATAACACAACATATTCACTGGAAAGACAACACATAATCGATGAGTCGTTATCGTGACTATTCACAATTAAGCTGTGCTATTAAGAGAGTTTAGAGTAGACATTTTGAGACATTTGATTTATTTCCAGTTGTTTTGTGTAAAAATATACATAAAGAGAATTTACTGCAAAAATGATTTGAGAAAGAAAATATTCATTTTGTGATTTTAAATCACAATTCCTTTTAACAAGGTTCAAAATTTGAAATTTTGAGACATTCTTCATGGGTGTGCATTTGAAATTTTTTTGTTGGACACTGGGGAACATTAGATGCCGTGAACACCATTCTATATAATCCCATAAAAGAGAGAAATGTTCAGAAGTAAAGCTCAAAACTTTGTACATTGTGATGTTTCAAAGTGAAGACACAACAATTTTAAAACGCTGAACAAAAGGCAACATTACTCAGGAGTATGACTGTTACGTTGAATGCAATGATACTGAAAATCAGTGAATTGCATCAACGTGTGTAACTACATTTTCTGTAACAGGTCATAGCAAAACGACTATTTGTCAAAGACATTGATGGGAATCCTTTTTTCCAGGTACCTCACACTGACCCGTCTTGTTTGTATTGATGTCAAGTTGTCAACACTTCATTTTCTTATTCCCAATAAAATATTAAGACCACATAATCAGCCACACTCTGCAAGCTGCTTATCCAAACATACATACGCTTCTGTAAAGAAAATATGTGTAAAACTATTTTCTAATTTACTTTATTTACCCCTTCTACCCAAATGCACCACAGTCCTCCCCTGTCCCTCCTCTCATTGTGTGGCACAAAGGACTTGATTGCAGGAAGAACTGTAGCTCATGGAGGTTTAATAAAACTAGCTTCTCCAACTGGCAAATGTTTGTGAGCTTGATCTGGAAGAAGAAATGACAGACAAAGCAGAGAGAGGGAGAGATTATTGAAAGAGTCTCAATGTTTGTTTCAATGTTTAAAAGGTACTAATAGTAATAGTAGTAATATTCGAATTAACGCTTTAATGTGTAAATCAAATACACACAACTTCTTTTTGAAATGAAGTTTAAGGATCATGATATCAAACATTCCATGCTGAATTTCAAGGATATGTGTTTAAAGTGCATTAGATGTAATGGTACCATATTGACGTGTGTTACTGGAATAGAATATATTTCTCTCAATATTTCAAAAGTTTTTTGAACGACCAGATGGATGTAGTCCAACAGTATTATTGGTGAATTTGGATATTTGTGGTGTGCATGAATAGGGTTGGTGGGGGTTGATTAAATGTCAGTTACACTAGACATCAACTTGGTCTTGTGTAACCAGTGAGCCCATTGGAAAACACATGCCCAAGCAGAAGGGCCATGCCCCACCCTAGAAAAACATTTAGGCTGTAAAAGTCCAAAGAGGTTTCTAGTCAATTCTACTGCCATTATTCCATATGAACGGTCTTTATTATTGCACATTTTGATTAGTTAACTTACTCTTTTGTTGTTAAGTTTACAATATTTTGTCTGCAGTTTTTTGCCATTGGGTCACAATGTTTAAAGGTTTCCAGTGGACACACTGTAAATGTATAGTGAATTGTAATAAAAGAGAAGGTGTCAGTCAATGCAATTCTTCCTGTTTTCTTTCGTCAGTTATTTTGCAAATATTTGTCAAACAATAAAGGGGACTCTTCACTCTCTACTTGGAAAGTCACAATCTTTCAGCACACACACACACACACACACACTCACATTTTCATGGAGTGGACGTAGGGCAGAGACTGATAAAGACAAATGAGTGTTTCTCAATCATCTTGCTCGCATTATTTGGAAACAGGCTTGTGGTCAGAAAATGTACACCTAATTGCACCGTGTTATTCAAAACTATTTTACTAGAAACAGAAATTACAGAGGGAGGATTGATTTAAATGTTTAGACGACTGCAGACAAGCCTTACACTCGGAAGTCACTTCCCATTTGTTTTTCCTAAAAAAAGGTGGCGGCATGCCGAGAGCTATGTATGTTGTATGCTGTGAATATTTGCTCTTGAGTCATGAACTGTCTGTTTACCTTTCAAATAGCCTATGTTCTACGACTACAGACGACAGGCTCTCTTCTCAGCATCACATCCCCTTTGCCTCGGTTTTTTCCATCTACAATGTACATCACCTCTCTGGATAACTGACAGAAAACTGTGATATAGTGACTTAGAACTTCAGTTACGCTTGACAGTGACTTCGGTGATTCTGATTTCAATCTATTCTGTTTTTTATTGAAAGGTTTGAACACAATTTCTTCAAAATAATACTGGGATATTATATATATAGATATATTATATATATATTTATATATTTTTTTTAATCATGGTATAAAATGAACAAAAAAATCTGTTTTTGTTCCTTTTGCTTCATAGAAATTATAGAGGTCCTTTGTACTCGGGTTCGGCGGTTTGGTACAGTGAGAAAAACACAAGGATAAAATAGCAAAGACAAGGAAGACTCAAAACAAATGCAAAAAGGGGCTGAAATAAGGATTATTAACAGCATGTGAATGTGTCTCATATGCTAAGCCTTGTCCCCACACACACTCCTGCACACTTCAGTGTGCATTCCACTGGAACACACCCCGAGGAACACTGGCTGCCATGTGACACGCAGCAGCAAAAAGAGGAAGAAGAAGCAGAAGACAGGGAGAGGTAGAAAGTGGGATTGAGGGATGAAAGAGATGGTGGGATGGGAATTAATATCCTATCACAAGGGGGCAATTAGGCACAAAGTGTGATGAGCGCATTAAATAAAACATGGCCCATTTTAGGGACAGTGACTTCCAACAGGGGTCAGGGACATGAATCATATCTGCAAACACATGATTTAATGTGTTCTATATTTCATCTGGTGTTTTTTAACAATGGTCGAAAGTGCATGAAAGACATTTCATCTGCAGTTTAATAGAGTAAAGGAGAAAGCTGAATCAGACTTTAAATGAATACAGAGCAGAGAGAAGATGAAGAGGGGGAGATAAATGAGGGCAGATGAAGTGGTATTAAATCTGAAAGGTTTGTAGAAGCAGTGTTGTGGAAGAAAAGACGTGAGCTGCAGCAGAGTTCAAACACCACAGGCACAACACGCTGCTGCCAGGGAGGAGCAGTGAAATGTGGCTCTGCCCACTCACCACCTCACACACAGAGAACAGAATTCAAACTCAATGTATAGATGACACTTACTGGTTTGAAGAGCCAAAGGTGTTTCCAGAGAATCCTACAGGATGAAAAAAAGTGATCAGTTGTGTGACTGTAGCCATAAAACATTGTGTCAGTGTAGCGAAAGATAAAAACCTAATATCGCAATAATATTCTCCTTTGACAGCACATGTTATCTCTGACAGATCTGTGTGTTTCAATATGTATGGTTGATGGTACAGTAAAAGGCCCCTAAAATGATTTAAATTACTGATTAATCTGCTGATTATATTTTGATTAATAAATAAATCAATAAAATATTTAAAAAAAGCCAAAATGGATGTCTTACCATTGCTTGTTTGACTATTTTATGTTGTATGACATTTCTCACATCATTTCTTGTTCTGTGTAATAAAGTATGTTGCATAATTTTATTAGGATATTAACACAATAAATAAACAATGTACTTCAAGATGTTCTAAAGAACACTTTAAATGAAAAATATTAGGTACACATAGCATAAACTCTTCAGAACTGTAATGTGCGATTAATGAAGTGCATTTTATATTTCCAGTTATTTGCTTTTATTTATTTTCTCTGTTTTTAACTCGTGTATTCAAGCATTTTTGAAAGTGTAGGCAAAATGTATTACTATTATCTTTATGATAATCATCATCATCACCATCATTATTATTATTATTATATCTACTATCTATTAATAATTATAATAGATAATGGGTGAAAGAAAAGTGTATGGATGTGGAGAACTGTTTCCTGACTTCACTTGAGCCACTGAGCTTGTAAACAAGAGGGAAGCTGAAGACAAAGAGCGAAGAAAAGAAACATTATTTCAGTCGTATCCCTCCGCCAACCTGTGGTTTACATTCATCCGCTCACACTTAAATGTAGCGAAGACTTTAAAGAAAAATTAAGTGTATTTTCTTCACGATTAATGGATTAATTCTTCAGTTGTGGCAAACAATGTGTTCTGTGAGCTCATATTGACCTCTGACCTTCAACCACCAATGCAATCAGTTCATTCTTGAGTCCAAGTGAACGTTTGTGCCAGATGTAATAAAATTCCCTCCAGGCGTTTCTGAGATATCACGTTCATGAGATAGCGATGATGGACAGACAACCTGGCCTCTGACCATGGCAGTCGCCCGTATGGAAACATAAAACAAAAAAAAAAGTTGACTGAAATAGTAGTCTCACCTCCTGTCTGTGGCTGCTGTCCAAACCCTGAGAAGCCGCTGGGCTGATTTCCAAACCCAGAGCCCTGCTGGGCCAAGTTCCCGAATGACGGAGTGTTCTGATTAGCTAGAGCGCCAAAGGATGGGGCAGGGGGAGGTGACGCAAACCTGAAAACAGACGCATACACAGAGGATGTGATATGGTAAAAGAAAAGAAACATTTAACAGCCATGTTCTAAACCAACAATTTATTTTGAGCAAAGAAACTATGTTATTTAGCTCCATCCAAGTAAACATGCAAGCAGGGCAGGAGGTGTCAGATGGTGCGGATGTGTGGGTCGGGGTACGAGAGGATTAAGAGACAGGGGTTTAAGCAGTAATCTCTTCTGCAGGACTCATGCCACACTGAAAAGAGAGAATAAGCAAAACAGAGGAAAAGCGGGAGGGAGCAGGCCTGTTTAATCTGCAGGCGGCATGACCCCAGAGTGAGATTATCTGAGGGGAATAATCTAGTCCTGCACAGAGTTCCATAGTTTAGGGCTCAATGGTATCAAAACATGTGCACATGGTGGGCACGCAAAAAAAGAGGAGGATGGAGATATCATTTGAGTGGAAACAGAAGAAAAGATGTAATTTAATTTCTTTTGTAAGAAATTTCACTTGGTGTAAAGCCCACTTGCTGTGGACTATAAAATGTTCTCATTCAGTGGCCTGTTGTATTTCACTGTAAAATGTTTGTTTGATACTTTCAAAAAAGTACTGTACAGCATCTGCACCAATAGTGAGATATGTTACATTAAATCAACGTTTCCTTTTTCCTTCATTATTTCTACATGAACATCATGCAGCACATTTTATGTCACCAACTGTATTTCTGATTAAGACAGATACATTTTTACTATTCTTAATTCAGACCTCTCTCCGAGCTGGCATGCAAGGGGAGGGGTAACTCTCACAGAGCTGCTGCAACATACAAGCACAGCTATCCAATGGAGAAAACTAATGTTAAAAATGTGGTTACACTTCACTAGGAGGGATGCTGCTAAATCTTGAAGCAACAAATCATCTGCATATAACAGCGAGAACACAATCTGTCAAATCATCAAAAGAACGGCCATCACATAAAGGTGGATAAATTGCCCAGATCATAGTTCATCTGTTCTTGCCCCAGATTTATAATGTTTGCAGCCTGGAGCCCACACAGAGATAAATAACTCCATATAAAACTCTTTAATAACAGTTCTTTGTACAGAATATATATCACAACTTTCTTACCCAAATCCTCCCATGTTGGAGGCCGCAGTTCCCTCGCCAAACACTTTACCAGCGGAGGAACCCATGTTGTTGTTGAATGAAGGGTTGGAGCCGAATGACGCCGCACCTCCAAATGCTGGAGAACTACCGAAGGAAGGGGGACTTCCAAACACTGGAGCGCTGCCGAATCCACCTGCAGAGGGGAAATCGATAAATTCTTCAAAATAAAAAACAACCAGAAAGCAATCAAGCAGTAAAAGCGTGGTCCTCATCGTTGTTTCTACAATGAACAAAAAAAGGTTGAGTCACGATGTCGTTGTATGGCTTTAGCTCATTTACATACACTTTCTTGATCTATGTCAAGGTTCTTCTCAGGGACAGAAAAACATGTCAGTGTGGAGATATGCTCAGACCCCTGTGTAAATAATACTACACATACACTCCACATGTGGTCTGAAACATGGCTACACTTACTTAGAGGGTAATAACAAGTAACATCTAAAATTGTATTTGAGTCGTAATTTCTAATGAGCACTGTTGTGTATACATTTTTGGAACAACACACTGTGACTGCTTAATAACAGGATTAATACTTCACACCAACCCAAAGCCGCAGAGGTTGCAGCACAGAGGGAGAAAGGGCGGAATGAAATTACAGCCTGACTACCAGCATGCTCCAGTAAATAATTGATTGAGCTAATGTAACAAGATTACATTCCCTGTACGTGGGCCAATGACGGGGCATTAGTGTGCTGAGTGGTACCAATATCCCAGTGGAGCCGAGGGATAGCTTGGATAGCGGATTCTATTTATAAAAAAAAAAGACTATGACAGGAAAAAACTCATTTTACACCTTGAAAACCAAATAATAACTTTGGTTGGGGGGGGTTTACATTAATTCTTCATACTTAAACTTGATACTGTGTAAGTTGTAAACCTCTTTGGTTTCCGCAGGAGCAATCAGGGGGTGGAGCTGTGCTATTGAGGTCCCACCGATACACACAGTCAACCAATCAGGAGTCAGTCTTAGCTGTCAATAATGACTTTTAACCCCGTTTTCATAGAATCCAATAATTAATCAAAACAGTACTTGCAGGAAGAATGACTACAAACACTTGAACAAACATCAGTGTGATCTGAGCTACCTAAAATTACAGAAATCGTCTTGTAGAAAAATGTATTGAACATCTACTTTGACTATGCAGATTTGGTCCATGCCCCATCCACTAACATGGAGGCGATGGAGTTTATGATCTACACAGCAGCCAGCTTCCAAGGGACGATTGGAATTCTTTGCCTTAACCTTTAGGGAGCAGTCATGCTCGCCATCTCTATACACAGTCCATGTTTATTTATCACCCTCTGTTTGCAAAGAACAAAACCAACAGGTCTGACTGAGCTTGTTACAGTTAAACTGACATATATACAAACTGCAAACAAATAAGAATGGAACGACAAAGCAAGAGTTTAATCCTCTTCAAAGTAAACAGCAGTGCAGCAAGTGAGACCATAACCAAACTACTGCATGACTCGACACTAGTCGATGCTTACATAATGTAAAAAATCAACAAGGACAAGGCACAAAATCTGCTTATATGCATCATCAGCTGTCCTCTTTCATCTTGACTATCATAAAACAAACACATTAATGTGAATCAATACATTTTCTAACCACACGAAAACTGCATGAACACCTCAGGTTTTCATAAACACCTCATCTTTAAGTAAATATTCCTTAAAGGCATAGAATGCACAAGACATCTGAAGTCATGTGCACCTTTCTACATACTGCAGAACTCAGATATCTGTATCATCTCTTTATGAGTAGACGAATAACTAATTTGCTGTGAAGATTTTTTTTAAAAATAAAACAATGTGGTGGCAGGTTGTACCTGGTTTTGTCGGAGAAGAGAAGGAGCCAAAACCCTGGGATGCGACACTCCCTCCTCCAGTGCTGAAGGTGCCACTGGGTTTCTGCTCACCAAAGGAGGTCTGTTCAAAACCAAAGGCCTTGGCACCACTATTCCCAAACAGAGTGTTGGAACCTAGAGGAGAAACAGGAAGATAAATCCACATCTTTTTAAGAACAGTAAAATGCTTTTGCTTTATGATTTCCAGTTGGTATCCACTATGGCACAGGCAAGTGGGAACACTGATGACAGAGTAAAAAAACAACTTTATAGATTGTGTTAGCTTACCTGTCTGAGCAGACTGGCCAAATCCTCCGGTGGAGGGAGGGTTGCCAAATGGGTTCTTGTTGGCAGCCTCCTCGGTGGGTTTGCCTCCCAGGCCACTGAAGAATCCTCCACCAGCTGATGAGCCTGCAGTGTTGGCTGAACCTGACCCAAACACACTCCCACTAGATGATTGCTGCTGCTGCTGCTGCTGGGAGATAAGTATTATTCATATGACGTATCCAGAATGGGCAATACTTTAAACAATAACAACATAACAATCAGTAATAATGGATAATACCTGTCCAAACACACTGCCAGTGTTTGGTTGTTGGCCAAACACAGAAGTGGAAGAGGAGCAACCGAAACCTGAAATAAAAGAAAAGTCTATGACATGCACTGTTAAATCTACACGACTGCAGTAGATGCTGTGGAGTTGGTGATGCCATAAACATTTTCAAATCACCACTCAACTATTTTGCTCCCCTTTTCTCCCCCAGTGTCAGTCACAACAGAATGAGACAACTATGGAAACTTTGACCTTTGAGTGTGTAGTCAGGAGCTGTGTGCAACTGCTGAGCTGATACACTGACATCAGCTGTTCGTGGAGAAACACATTCCCACTCTGCTCTGGGAATTTAGAGAATCTTCGGGAATGGGACAACTCCCGTCATGCCACCTTCTCAAATCTCACAACCATGCAGCCTACTCACGCTTGGTAGTATGCTTCAAGTGTCACATTTGGATTCAATCACAATAATATGTGAAAGTCAGCCAAATGTGTTAATGCTCTTACACACCCTCCCTCACTTCGCACTGCCCTTACTGATATAATAATATAACTGCAGTGGTTGTCAGATGCCGTTAGCGCCGCCAGTCAGAAACGACTTAACCATTTTGAGATGTTCAAGTCTGATGAGCGAGTGTGACATCACTTTGTCTCCAGCTGACATTTTTATAATGAGTTTCTGTTTTAAAATTGTAAATCCTGTCTACACTATTATTCTAATAGCCAGGAGGTGTATTTTTTCTCATTCATATAACAGCCATAGGATTGAATTTTTTAAACTGAAGATGCTATGTTGATATAAATATGCCACATAATAACAAGAAAAGATGAGAAAAGTAGAAACATCATCAACAGGGCTGATAATAAGGTGAAAAGCAGGTGAGTTCTGCCAAAACTTTTCAACGGTTGCATGTATCATTAAACACACAATTATGTTACCAGATTAACAAAGAACTAATCCAATGAGGCAATTAGAAGAATGCTCAGAAACAGCATACCTCCCACAAGGCTGATACCCTATTTCGCCATGCTACAGAAAGTGAAAATTAACAAACAATGCAAGAGCAAACTATGCTATACCAAAGAATGGTTTTATTATTCAGTGGCAATAAATAAAGCAGTTAGCCACAAGCTGTTTTCTCTATTTTACTATTGAGCAATGAGTATCAGTCACGACTCGCACTCACCTGAGGGCTGTCCAAAGCTGAATCCTGCGGAAGATGACGTGGTGGTGTTACTACCAAACACAGAGCCTTGCCCAAATCCAGAGCTCTGGCCAAACGCTGGGGCTGTGCTCTGTCCAAACAGCCCAGAGCCGGTGCTGCTGGCTGTGTTGGCAGTGCCTGTGCCAAACGGGAAGGAACTTGCATTGCTGGCAGTAGCAGCACCAAAAAGACTTCCTCCTCCTCCTCCTCCTCCAGTGGTTGCACTGTTAGAGCTTGCTCCAAAGGCTGGCTGGCCGAAAGAAAATCCACTAGCTGTTCCAGTGTTACTGGCAGGCTGGCCAAAGCCACTCACCTGGCCAAATACAGTTTTGCCAAAATTAGCTCCAGCTGATGCACCAAACCCAGATGAACCAAATCCTGTGATTGCTGGAGCCGAGGGGGCTGAGGAAGCTGGAGGTGCAACAGGTTGCCCAAATACAGTGGCAGCAGTAGTTGTTGCAGCGCTAACAGCTGTAGGGGTGGGAGTGGTTGCTGCATTGGCAAATGTGTTGATTACTGTTGTGATTCCAATGGTGTTGCTGTCTGTTGTTGCAGGAGCAGGCTGAGTAAAAATGGAGCCTGGCTTATCAGAGGAGGGAACCTGAAATGCTGCTGGTGCAACCTGGGAGACAGGAACTGCAGCGAAGGTGGCAGCTGCAGAAGTGGACACAGGAGCAGTGGTGGTGGTGGAAATGTCTGTGGGTGCTTCTACTGTGGGAGCACTGTATGGTGGTGGAGGGGCGGCTTCAGCTGGTGCGGCAATGGAGGTCGGAGGTTCTGGGGTTGGGGCTGGGGCAGTTGTGGCCAAAGGAGGTGGGGGTGTTGGTGCTGCTGGTGCTGGTGTGGTTTCTATGCTGGCAGCCTCCTCTGCAGGGTCGAGTACTTCTGGGGCACTGGCGCTCTCCACAGTGGGTTCAGAAGCTGGTTCTTTTTCAGGGGGAGGGGTGGGTTCTGAAGGTTGTTGGGAAACTTTTGGTTCCTCTGTGGAGTCTGAAGATTCTGCAAGGAGACTACTGAAAGACGTAGGTAAAGCTGTGGTAGCTGAGCCTAACTGGGGAACAGAGAAGGCTGGCTTAGTTGTTGATTCAGGAGGCTTAAACAAACTGCCTGACGCTGCTCCCTTCGCCAAGTCTGATCCCGTGGAATCTTCTGCAGACTTTTGAGCACCTGTACCAAAGCTAAACTGTGCTGCTCCCTTGCCCATCCCAAGTCCACTGTCCCCGAAGGTAAACGAGGCAGGAGTAGGTTTGGTAGAGGCATCTTTGGCTTCTTCTCCTTGGCCCACACGTAGTCCGGAGAAACTGCCCAGTGTCTCACCTCCAGCTGTCTTAGGTGGCTGTGGCTCTACCCTGAGGGCTGTTGTGGTAGAGGTGGGTTTGGCTGCTTCTCCTGGTGGGTTCGGAGGCAGGGTGGGGGACGCTGTGTGTAGAGCAGGGGAGGTGGACTTTGGGATGAATGAGAATGCCTCCTCTCCAGCCTGCCCGAATCCAATTTTGCCATTTCCACCAAAGGAAAATTTACTCACATCCTTTGCTGGAGAGAAATTAGGAATAACAAATGAATACATCCATTTCACACCCACTACTATATGACACCAATTTACTCTCTTGTTTATTACCTTGTGATATTCCAGGTCCCTGTGCAACTGAAGCAAAACTGAAGCTTGCGGACCTGCAAAAAAAAAAAAAAACAATTTAAATCACACATTGATATTGTTCCAGTAGCTACAATGACCAGTTAACTGAATGATCAAGTGCATTTTATATTCTGGAATTGGGGAAACATGTACAGCATATTTTATTGTATATATGTCATTGTGACAAAAAAATCATCAATTTCATAATTCCTCTTAAATTGTCCTGATCTGACTTACCCTGAAGAAAAGGAGAAACCTTTGCTGGTGTTTTGCTCCACTGAACTTGCAGGAGCCACGGAAACATCAGGTTTGGATGGTTGACCTGAAGGACATGTAATGAATTCAATCCAAATCTGTCATGGGAGTTACAGTATCACCTTGAAATGAAATCTCCATTTTGAAAACCAGAGAAGTTTAATTTTGTTTATCCTCCATTATACAGTACACATATTTTAAAACAGTGCTTACCAAACACAAACCCTGTCTGTGAGGTGGTTGTACATTCAGCGGACATCGTCTGGATACCTTGAGTAGGATTCTGCAGAACCAGTTTGAAATACACTCAGACCATTGTTCATTCATTTTGAAAGATCGTAATAATTCAGACATTATGTATATCATTTTGTATGTCATTTAAATAATCGTTATACAACGTTATACAACTTTCTCCCACATCCCAGGTGCAATTAACTATTTTTCTTTTTACAGAAGTAATGAAAACAAACTCATGAAACAAACTCCTGCAGTCGGAGATCAGTGTGTTTGTTCTTGTATGAGCCCAAGTTCAGTTTAATGGGACTGATCCAAAGATTTGTGCAAGGAGTTCCCCTTTCACTGTGATTTGTAACATCAACATGGGAAGCCACAGGGCATTTCACACTCATGCAGTTAATGGTCTGTATTCACATGCAGACCTGTTGGCTATCTGTGAATTTTCACAAGTTAAAAGTTGAGTATTTAAATAATGGCCCTTAAAAATACACTGAAGACATTTTTTGTGCATACCATGCTGCTGTAATAAGTTGGAATTTGCATGTGTCTTTGAATTAAATTATCTGTTTGGAAGAAAATCAGACCAGTAAGTCTCTCGGTAAATGTGGTATGGGTGGATAAGATGGCAATAACCATTCTACATATTGTTTCAGAAAGTGTGAAAATGTTTTTATATTATTATTTAATATTATTGTGTCAGGTTTCTGCAATCCTATACATATACTGTGTTTGAGCCATTCAAAGTGTGCTATGAAGTCTGCATTTGTGTAATATGATTTAAGTAAGTGACAAGACTACAGCAACACACAAATGTGAAAAGATGAGGGACAGCCATGTGAGTGATGGATAGAAGATACTCACTCGTTTAGCCTGGGTAGAAGAAACTGCAAAGACTGGATCTGGCGAGCTGAGAGGGAGAGAGAGAGAGAGAACAAAGAAAGTGTTCAGTTGCAATCAAATGAAATGAGCTACTTGTGCTTATAAAGTGTATATAAACACACACACACACACACACACACACACATAAACACATTGACTCTTGACTGGGAATCATTTGAAGAAATGGCTGAACCATGACTGTTTGACAGAGGGAAAGAGTTCACCATGTTAAAGCTGGATCAGAGAAAAGCCCACTTTCATAATCATCTTACTCTAACAATGCCTTACTTTGCTTATTTGTTATTGTGAGCAGACTTTATTTGGCAAAGCCCGAAGGAGAAATGGTCGGCAAAAATATCAAGCAATAAAGTGGAGCACGGTCCAATGAGGCAGAAAGAGTTAGGTGCAGGAGACAGCGAGTGGATCATGTACGGAATAAACAGCCGAATGAAAAAAACACGAAGAAAGTAAAGTAAAGAGGATGATGGAATATAATCACAAACAGTGCTGTCTCCTTGTTTTCTTTTGGCTCCATTCTCCAATATGCTGGTTTTTACATTAAACCTATGTTTCATTTAAAAGCGAGTGTGCTTGTGCTGGAGTAAAAAACAATAAAAAAAAACATTAATAATTAAATATGAGCTACATGTTATATACAACAATAATAAATGCAGTAGTTTTAGGTTTGAGGTTTAAAAAGGAAGGAAATTATAAAACTAAATTATGAGCAAAATGAAAATATGACACTGATGTCATGATTGAGGAATCAAGCTGGGATGCAGAGGTATGGCGTCGTCAAAGACTGCTAACCTCTGCCGGTCATGTTCATTGGCTAAGAATAGGTGGAGTCATTGACCTGACAGATCTATGGTGAGGGGAGACACTCAAAACGAACACTGGACCTCTAGAGGACTCATAGTGACAGACTGTCTACTCACTGAATCCAAAATAGATTTAGTCTGCAATTACAAACATGATTCAACGCTATAAATATAATATGCTTAATATTAAACAGCAAATATACAGGAGTGATAATTTGGACATGGCATATCTGAAAAAGCTCTTTATTATTCCAAACCGCATCAAAAGAGAAGTTGCAAAATCCAAAGTAACATTATCTGCACCATTAGCACCAGACTTAAAGGTACCAAAAAGATAAATCAAAGACTGCAGTAAAACTAGCTGGGAGCGGTCTCAGTCAGTAACACACACACACACACACACACACAGAATACACATCCCTGATCATATGGATAATGCAAGCAAAGAGCTTCTCAGGGCAAAGAAATGATATATTTTCAAATGGCCAAGTCAGCCACCTCAAGCGAAATGTGGGATTTTCAGCCTTCAGTTGTTTCTTCACCAAGAGAAAACCATGTTCAAACACACAGCACCTTAAGGCTGCTGCAGAAAAAGCCTGGCAACACAACTCAAATTTTCCAGACATCAGGTAGTCACAGACAGCAACTGATTTCCATCCAAGTACGAAAAATAAATTCTTCTTAGCTCTTTTTCTTACTTTGTCCAATGACTTTTGTGTGAGGGGATATTCATAAAAATGGCTCTAATCTACCACCAACTGGTAAATATGTTTTTGTTAAACTGTCCAAACACTTCATGGACCTGTCTGTGCTGATGTAGAATTGCACAGGGATTCAAGAAACAATATCTTACAATAACACAACCATAAGTACAATTCCTTTCATCCAATATGTGTTCATATCTGGATTTTGAAGCACACCTGCTTTTTTGACGCAGTGTCAGCAGAAGTATACATTTTCTGAACTAAAGAAGTCCTTGTACTGTTAAATGTTATAATTCTGTATCATATCTGAGGTATACCTGATGATAGTGGAAACTGGAACAGGAGACCCTTTCTCCTTGAGCTCCTGAACATTGACGACCTGAGGAACTATCTTCAGAGTGGACTCTGTCAAAGAAGCGCCGACAACAGCTGGAACACACACAGGATACAGACAGATGAAACTACAGTGTTTTTCAAAAACAAAATACACTAGAATGAAATGAACATGGCATTGTAATTACATTGAAACCAACAGCTCATTCAGATGTGATGGGGTGATGAGCTAAGACATAAGGCATTCAGAGCCACATATTTTGCTCTGTAAGTCTGTGTCTCCCCCTGGTGAATTATAGTGGGCACTGCAACAGGATCTTAAATAAACATCTTCTTATGCAGTGTTTCCTTTAAACACTTAATAATAAATATTCATCATCATTTGAAGATACATAAATAAATCGACTCTTAATTGCAGACAGAAACTGGCGACTGTTGAATCTTTTTCCTACCCATCTTCTGATTGGCCATCTGCCTGCGTAGAGCAGCGGTGGCTGCGGCCTGCTGGGCAGGGATGGTAACAGGTACGGCCCTCTCAGCTGGTGGGGCTCCGTGTTTGACCGTCTTTGTGGCAAGAGCAGTGCTATCAGGCCCGCTGAGGTTGATCTTATTGGTTGGAACTGAAAAAGGAACACAGTGCAGCATGTCTAATCATGTTTAATCCTTGTACATCCGTGTTACTTTTGACATGATATAAATAACTTACTAGGGCTGGGTATAGGGCTGAGTCCAAAGCCCATAGCCTGTACTTGATGAATTTTGGTTAAAGGTGTAGACTGGATTGCTCCAAAGCCAGGCTGGATAGAGGGGGTCCTCACGACAGTGGGGTGACGAGGGGTGGCAAGTGCTTGGGGTATGACAAGGAGGGGCTCTGGCTGTAGTTCCTCCTCCTCTTCCTCCAGCTCCAAGTGAGCAGGGTGGGGGTCCAGGGACTGGGACAGGGTGGAGGTAGAGCTCACATCATCCAAGTCCTCGTAGTATTTAGGGGACAGGAAGGCGGATCGAGACAGGTTGGCTGGGAGAGAATAGATCAAGGAACACTTAATTAATATCTGTGGTATAGACTTCGAACATTTATCTCATTGAAATCATGGAGTACCATAGATCTTATCATTTTGAAATGTTTGTTGAAGTAAGAGGTCTGTTTAATTTAACAGTACTCTTGTTTGTGTGTAGCAAGTCTCAACCTCTCTCTTTCACTTTGAGTTGAGAGTGTGATTAAAGGTAAAATAGATGTTAATGTTCATAAAATCACAAAATGTAAGCCTGTAAGTCAAACTTGCAAAAGAAGAATGGATGATTATGACCCTTGTTAACTTAGTTTGAGTAAGAGCTGTGTACCTGGTGCAGTTGAGCGGACAGGAGGCATCTGCCCCTTTGACAGGAAGTTGCGTAGCTGGGACTGTTTCACTGGTGAGATCTTGACTGATGTAGAAAAACATCTACAGTTAGTATTCATTAAAATTAAACAAATTCTTTCTATATACTAAAAAAAACACAGAAAGATTCATACCTGGAGATCTGGTTTTGGTTTTGAGAGGGGTAGGGTCCAGTCTGGCTTTCAGGAGAGCATCCCTTAAACTCTCAAGCTCACTTTCCAAACTAAAACACAGGAACACAATGTTTCAAGTTGCAAAACAACCAAATGTCTTTTAAGAGTAATTCAAAGTGCACTGATAGATATATTTAGATCAAATTTGAACATCCCCTGAAGGCTGCCACACCGACAGAAATGAGTGCACCCTTTAACTTATTCATGATGTATGATGATTATGTTAAGAGCTATTACGCCACCCAGTTATGAAAATCCCCACTAATTAGATTTTTTCAGTTTTTTAATAATTTAAAAACTGCTCTAGATGCAAATTGTGACTCATTAACATCATCGTTCACCACAGGTATGTTTAACACTTTTATCCACAAGCTTTTCATTTCCTCCCACATCACTTCCTTACCCAGCAGTTGTTGCTGTCGCAGTATTTTGGTTTGCAGTTGGTGTAGTTGTCTTGTTGTAGAGCATCAGTGAACTGAGGTCTTTAACCAACTGCTCCAATCTGAACTTTTGCTGCTCGATGATGTACAGGTTGTTGGCCAGTGTTGTGAAAAGACCCTCACGCCCTGGCACGGCCATGTGTCTGTAAAGAGAGGAGAGCAAATGACACTCAACCCAAAATCTTTTTAGTATCAAAAATACCATGTAGTAATAGGTAAGTTATACTAAAGTATGTTTCCCAATTGACAAAATACTTAATTGCTTGGCTCATCAGCATATCATTATCATAAGTATCAGGATTTTGAGAAGCTTGTGCAAGAAACTGTTTTTGTAATATTATGATGTCTCCAAATCTCAGAATTTATTTCCTTCAACATAACCCTAATACGCCATCAAATGTCTTTTGTGCCTACTTCAGCTTTTTCTTCTTCTCCAGATGTTTCTCCCATTCCACATTCAACACATCGTTGACGTCTTCCACAGCAAATGTAACGTACTGGTACAGTCTGCGAATCTCCTGAATCCAGGAAAAAATAAAATAAAATAATTTGTGATGCATTTATACAAGCTTTAAGGGAACGTATATGTGTCCACTCATGCAATGATTTGAGTCATCCCCTGTTCCATGTGTCACCTTGAGTCGTTCCTCACTGCGTGGGTCGAGAGGTTTTTTGTAAAGCAGCTGTCTGTTATTTTTGTCTTTGCTCAGCTCACTCTGGGTGATGGCTTCTTCTGCCCCAGCAAAGCCCTCCAATAAGGTTGTCTTCAGAGTCCCAATATCCCCATTGAGAGACTGAGAATTAGGAAAAGAAAAAAAAGGTTGGATGAGGACAGGACATGTCGTACAATAAATTCCATAGAGACCATAGATATGACACTAAAACCAAACAACAAAACATGCACTGTATGACGCTGCACTTTTGGACAAAGATCACATTATAATTCTGCCGATACAAATGATTTAAGCATCATAACTTGGTCCTCTTTGAAGTTTTCACTCCATGTGATCAAGAAATTAATAAAATCATTTTGCTTATTTTGTGCATGTCGGTGCAGGCAAAAATAAAAATGTGTCCATGCAGAGAGAGAGATTTCTTTGGGAGAATAGGCCTCAGCACCGCATCGACATCCAAACGACTCCAATGTGATGACCATTCATTTGTGGAAGCAAAACAAAAATGTTTTGCCTTATTAATTTTCAAGTTACAAGATTATATGTCAGATAAATAAATTGTGATAACTTGAGAAACAAAGATGCAAAGTGCTGTAACAATGACAGGAACCACTGGAGTCATTTGTGTGAAAATGGTTTGAAACAACTTTGATGTTTAATGTCAATTTGTTTTAGGAATGGTTTGTACAGTGCTGAATTCCTGAAGAGGAAACACATCACATACATCAACAATATCCATCTTCTTTGTTCCATCATCTCACCTCTGTAGTTTCCTTGATCTCCAGTGTGAAAATATGTAGGTCCTCTGACTCCTTCCTCAACTCCTTCATCTCGTCATTGGTGCCAACCTTGAAATCAGCTCTTGCACTTCTTGCCTTAAGGTCATCCAGCTCCTTCTGGAAGTGTGCAATCTGATGACAAGACAAAGACACGCTGAGTTATAAAACAATGTAAGGAAAAATTGTCCATACAGCCCTAGTTTTGATGATGTGGCTGATCTGTGTTTATGTACGCAACTGTCAGTTTATGTGGTTTGTATGGTGCAATCAAATTTCCTTTAATTAAATCATCAGTTTAATTTCATGATATGCAAAGCTCCATTCAGTTACCAACTACCAACTATCTTTAACTTTAAATACGCTGCTGCAGAAGGAACTAAAAGTCCCAGTGGCACACGTTACTTTAGTGTGGACTGTCTCACCTCTTCCAATATACCAGCCATGATGTGATCCGACTCTTTCTTTTGCTGTGGCTGCTTCTCCACGGCCTTCACAGGTGCCACAGGGGCCTGAACAGGAGAGAGAGATAAAATACATCAAAACCTTCTGTTCAAAGACAGGAGGAAAAAAACAAACACACTTGGTTGTCATCTACCTCCAGCAGTTGGTTTCATATGAGTATGCTTTTGATAGTAGCAACTCCTACCAGCACAGTTGCACTGACATCCAACATCTTGTCAGATCCATTACCATGGAAATCTTGCATGTTTTATCTCCTCTGTACGCTTTTTTTTTTTCATTGCAGTCTTGTGATTGTTATTAGCTAATTTTATTTTTCTGTGATCAGTTCACTGCATACCATGTTAGCAAATTTAAATACAGGACCAATAAGCTGTCTGAGGCTGATGTGTTGCTTATATAATATAGCTGAGCTGAGATACCGGTTCTCCTGTAGTATTAGAGGACAGGAAATAACTGTAGCTCATTTTATGCTAGTTTCACAGCATCTTCCCTTTAACTGTTCAGCATTCCATGAGCCGACTACCAACAAAACTAAAAGGAATCTATTTGATACCTGAACAGGAAAAAAAAAACAAAAAACGTAATGATAGACAAACAACCTGTGGAGCTTGGATTCGGCTCTGGGCAGCAGGAGTCGGTTTCTGGACAACTGTTGGCGGCGTGCTGGTTTGAACTGGACGCACTGGGGCTGAGGTACAGGCAAGAATATTAGAATCACACTCTTACTCATGAATACTTCAGAATTAAAGAATTCATTAATGTAAAAAACAAGACTTTCTCACTAAGTACAGCTGGTGGCTTAACGACTGCAAGTGGAGGGGCGGTCAAACTACTGGAATTGGAGACAACTGGTTTGGGTATTGGAGAAGTGAAGGAGAAAGACTGTGGGGCTTGTGCTGGGGTCTCCACTGCTGAAAACCTAAGGAAAGAGAAGATGGATTTGTATATATTTGTAAACATACAAACATGAATGTGTCAGTCACGATATCCTCTTGTGATATATCGGTACCTCTCATTCAGATTCATTTTCACTGTGGGTGGGGAGGCAGCAGCAATGCTGTGAAGGGCTGGAGCTGGAGCTGGGGCCGGGGCTGCTACCGCTGCCGGTTTGATGGAAGGCGTGCTGATGGAAAAGGCAGACGGTGCTGAGGGAGTATCAGAGGGAGGTTTGGAAGCAAAAGAAAAGCCTGAGGATCCTGAGCCAAAGGACATGGATCCCCCCAGGGAGAAAGCTGAAGGGGCTGAGGTGGAGTTGGTAGTTGGGACAGAGAAAGTGAAGGCCGATGAGGACGATGACACAGGAGCTGTTGTTACAAAGCCGAACCGAGCAGCAGAGGAAGAGGCAATGGGAGCGGCAGGAGTGGGAGCAGCTGCTGATGTTAGACCAAGGTTTTGGAACACCGCTGGGGCAGATGGAATGGCGGCGGCAGCAGCTTTTGGTAGTTGGGCTGCCAAAGAACCTGTGAATAGAAGGAATATTAGGTGTCACTTGATCTCATCACATGTTCAGCAAGTTTTGTCTAATTTTACTACTGAAATTAGCCTCAGAGATTAGAATAAGTCCACATTTTTCATGGTGGGTTAGATGCAACCACATTTCTATCAGACTTCAAAGAAGTTTGTACAAATGTTGACAAGCCTCTTTCTGAATTACTTTGGATTGGTTAAAAACACTGGTCTTCCAACGTCATAGAAGAGTAAGCATTTCACAGTGTTGTCAAATCTGACTACATGATCAAAACAAGACTGGTCTCATGCCATGAACAATTGTGAATATAAAATGAAAAATTACTAATTGTTCAATTAAAAAAAACTCTTCCACAAACAGAGTAATCAACAGAAGCTGATTCTTATTAGTATTAATAAATAGTACTTTCTTTCCAAAGACTTTTCAATTCTTTTCTGCCGTCATCACCACTAGACTCACACCCAAAACAACGTCTTGGTCCTATCTTATGATGTGAATTGCGATAAGATCTTCAGCCGTGTATAGTCTTAGAGCTAAAATTTTATACAGAATTAAAGTCATGGTTAAGATAAGCCTAATGTGGGATAAATTTAGATGCGTTATTTGACTGGTCTCTGGTTGTTGTGTAACTTGCCACGTGTGTGGTCCAACCCACCTCCATAGACAACTGGTGCCTGCTGCACACGAGAGGATAATCGGCCTGATTTTGGGTCTGATTCAAACCCGACGATTGCAGGGACATTTTAAGGCTGATCTGAAAATGATCTAGTTTAATGATCCTGTAATTTGAGGGTTTCACAGATATAATCTTAATGTCACCAACTGGACACTCCAGTTGTATCCACAGAAAAGTGCAGCCAGCTGATGACGCTTGGAGTCTAACTCCATGTCGGTTTTTATTATGATGTCACGTTTGATCTCGCAAGTTTCTGAGAGTTTCCAAGTCTCTAGAATTGCCACTCAGAATCACTTGTTTGTTTAAAATGTATAATCATGCGATCATAATTTCTTTTTAATCAGTTACATCTATTGTTATAGCTGTAGTTTCCCACATTTATATGGCCTCTAGTTTGCAGCAGGCACAAGGAGAGGAGGATACTAAACTGCACATAGAAAAAAATAGATCACATTTTCGTATGACCAAGTTCGTCAACAGCCTATGATAGCAAAACACCAGGAAATGGAAAAACTGTCAAACACTACTTAATTATCACTGGAGGAAACATATCATTGCCAGGTTTGTTTGTGAATCACCATGAAACCCTCTTGACAACATTTAACACTAAAACATCTGTCCCATTCACCGGGTGTCTTACCTAGATTGGGCAGTCTCTCCCCCTCCAGAGGGAGAAGGCTGGGGCGTGAGACCAGCTGCTTCACACCAGGATTGAGGTTGAGCAGAGCAAACGGGCAGAGTAACCCCTCCGTGGATAGCATTAGCATCGTGGGCGCTGGAGGTAAGGTCTTCTCATCAGCTGTGAAAGAAACAGAATGTGGCAAAAGATATTCAGAGAGAAATTGCCTACATTACATACAGCAAAACATGTTCATCATTTCATGCAACATACCAAACACATAACTGTTACACACACTAACTCCATCGTTCTATCATGCATAACTCCCCAATTTCCTCCTTCTAAAACACATTTTCCACAGAGCACAGAATCAGAGAGAAATCTCTGCAGCTCTCTGGTAGGACACTTTGTAGAAAGATTATTAATTGAGAGCCATATCTGTGTGCAATCTCCATTGGACGGTAATAAGACTTTTGTGAGAAATTTCGATCTCTGCACAGCTCCCAATTCACACCGCTGCACAAGGAAAACGATTAGCAGCAAGTGCTGTCTGCTCTCTATGGGTTCCTCTGTTTGTGACAACAAACTGCGGTTTGTCACTTTAATCATTAAAGTCTTGACGGCATTTGAGCACAAAGACTGTATGTCAGTGCCGAATTTATCCCATTAACCTTGGTCCATTCTGGCCTCAAGTCGTTAAAATGAGCCAGATGCGAGTGTTTCGCTGAAAAAGACTACTGAAAAAGACTACTGACCTGTCCAATAAATAAATTCAATGCTGCTGCTGAAGCCCCCCACAACTCCTTCCTGTTCTTCATGCTGTGGCTACGTTCATTCGACAAATTTTTTGTTTCAAAATGCATCATCTCTGCTATGGATATGCCTCTTGTCCACACAACTCCGGAGTTTTAGGACCACTAAAACTGAGAGGTTTGGAAATGATGACGTAGAACAAGAGCTTGCTGATTCCGTCGATTCGGTCACAACGCAGCTTTCGCAGATTTGTCAGGCTTCTATCATATGAGCATCTTCCGTAAACAGCATTAGCCTCAACTACCAGTGTAGAACGCAACGTGGATAACGTGTTCCTGACAGCTGTTGTCCATTTAAATTCTACAATGTACAAAGAAACGGTTTACATGAGTTGGAGACAAGCTATTATTCCTTTATAGGAAAACTCTCTCTACAAACAACAACCAAATGCTTCCTGTTTACCCCGGCACGCAGTTGCCCAGTGTACCTGAGTGGTAACGTGATATATGTTTTCAGAACTGTTAAAATGGACAAGGACTAAAATGAATACAGAGCCAAAACACTTGTGTGGACAGAGATCACTTTAAAAGCAGAAGTATGGATGTAGCCCAACTTTCCAAAGTCATGCAGGTTCAGACTGGATTTTCCAAAAATGGAAAATATGGTCTGAACTGACATGTAAACGATAAAACTGAATATTTGCGTCCTACATTAATGATGGATTAGTTAGAGTTGATACCAGTTGCTTCAAATACACGAGTAATGTATACAGAACACTTTGTCCTGGTTGTTCCCTCTACAGCTGCGTCTCATAACAGCAGTGGCTGTTCTTTTTCAGTCCATCTCAGTGTTGGATTACCTACCTCTAACTCAACTCTCTAACTACATTTTGCATCTACTCTATATTCATCCTGTTATGCAAGTATATTTGTATTCTATTTTCTGCATATATTCAAACAAATTGAGAAGATGACAAATATTGTCTTTCACACAACACAAAATAAGCCTGCAATGAAGAGAACAAACATAGAAAAATGCAGCCTCTAATGTTTAGTTTCATCTCGGTTATGAAAACTACAGTTTGAAAGATAGAAGCAAAGAGATAGAGGGTGAAAGAGAGAGCGAACAGAAGGGAGAGGCACACAGTAAACCTCATCAGCATTCTGCAACAGGATTGTCTGGGCTTTGTTGTTTGTTGTGGTCCTCTAGCTTGTCTGAACCATTTTAATGAGCAAATTTTGTTCTCCTCTCCACAGATAACGCTCCCGTTACTCTCCCTACGCTTCCCCTATCTAATGTCTCACTTCCGATAAAGGTTTTGATCTACTACAATCATGTCAAAATACTGCTCAAATTGCAGGTTTGGTTTTTATTTTTTGCTCGATGGGGAGGGAGTTCTTAGAATGAGCACCGAGAGATGTGACTAGACAGCAACGGCAGCTCTACGTGAATGTCTGACAGACTGGGCCAGTTAAGATTAAGCAGTGTTCTGAGACGGGGCTTATCACTATTCTTTACACACGCTGCAACAGAACACTGCAGTGGAGGCTGTGTGCACAATGAAAACCTGAAATTGAAAGTTAACTTAGATTTGACAGAAACCCCCCAGATCTTTAATATGCCGAACATTTTTTTGCAGGTATAACAAACTGAGAGTGCCATAGTGCTTTCAACTTATTTTTTAAAGAACCAGAAAAAAATATGTCTAACAAGTATCAGTATAAAAGCATGCATGTTCATTAAAACCAGCTGATTGAGGTGGGTGGTAACTGAGCGCAGAACTGTGCACAAACCTTACAAAACTAGTTTAATTTCCTGCAAACCATCCATTCTTCCAATTAACTATTTTGTGAAACACCTAGTGCATTCAGTGAGCCTTACAGACATTAATCACATTTACGATAATGACAATTTGAAAAAAAAAGTGGTGTCCAAAAGCGCATAGATGGCAAATGCAAGGAGGAGGGATCCAATTTAAAATTGTTGGGGTGGGAAAGGTTGTGAAAGGTTGTGATTTCAGTTGAATCATGACTTCAAGCAGAAATATGTCTTGGTTCTACTAATTCTGTGCCAGTAAAATAGATTTTTTTATATTAAAAAAGCGATAATGTATATAAGATGTGGTGTATTTATCAGAAACCCATTTTTTAAACCATTTTACAGATGAATAATCAGATGGTACAGTGCAGTCTGCATAGGTTTCTTATGCAACCAAATTATGTGATGGGGAAGCCCAGAGGTTACGCTGACTTGACATGGAATCCTTTAATTCTACTGTGAAACCATTCAACAACAAACATTCACAGAAAGCCAAGACTTTTCCTTACAGATGTAGATCTCCTGCTGGCTGGTGTAGTCTATGGCGAAGCCGAGAGGTAGAGTGTCTTCATTTGTCTCAGTCACTGGAAGCTCAGCCCGACTTGCATCTTCCAGAATCCAAAGTTCCCATATCTAAAAGGACGATAATTTGTGGACATCAGGCTACAGACATCTAGTGTTTTTCCATCAGACCATATAGTGAGAATCAAAGCAAATCCAGACTATGAGAATAAAATCTGTTTCGGTAAAACACATAGGATGCAAGTTTACCTTTGCTTTAATCAACTTTAATTCAAAAAAGTAAGTCTTAGTTTACCTTGTCGTCTTGTCTGGCTATGACGCTGACCTCAATGGAAGCTGCTGATGCTGCAAACACAAGGTCCCTGAAAGAAATCAACAATGAAGCAAAACAAAACGTTAAACAAATTTAACATGAAATCACAATAAAACCAACACAAATGTTTGATGTCAACAAGGATTTCGGGTACCGAAATCTTGACCACAATCTTTCTTACCAGTCCTCCACATGGCTCAGGAAGTAGTGGTGTAGCCGTTCAGTGCAGCTGCCATACACCGTGTCACTAAAGTTCAGATACTTCGTCTCCACCTTCTCATCCTTTTTCTGTAAAAATAAAAGGGCATCAAATTTAATTACTTCAAATTTGTTATAGTACATTAACAACAGATGACACCTCTGTGTGGTGGAAACATATTTCGGCAGCTTTATAAATTCTGATTTTATGATTAAAAGAATGTCCCTACAAATACTGAGAAACATATGCATTCACAGGCGTCCCACAGACAGCAAGTTAAAATTTCATAGTCTGTGACACACCTCATATAAACAAGAACTTGGATAATGAGCTGTTAAATGTGAGCCAGGTAGCATTCGTGTACATTTCAAATACATATATGGTAAAAAAGGATCTACTGAGTTAATGAGTGAGACTGCGATGAAGGAGTGCAACCTGACAAAAAAACCAAATGTGATGAGGTGATCTGTATGTTGCTGTAGACCGTGTTACTCACAGGGAGGGAGATCAACACAAGCTCGGGAGGGGTCTCAAGGGATCCATCTGCAGCAGCATATACCACTGCAAACACAAAGGTTTTCAGCCACAGGACATCCAGAGCTGAGAGAGACAATGGAGAAAAAAAAAGTTAGTCACAGATGAGATTTAAGCACAGTGATGAAAGTCATACAAACTTGAATTTTATAGACACATGGTTGTTTCACCTTTGACAGCATCATCAGGGGAAGAAGTGTAGAAGTGTGGACATGGGATCACTTTCTTTTCCTCTAATGCCTTTTGAAAAGAGGAGATAATCAGTTATTCATCTTGTCAGATATTGAGTGCTGCATCTCATAGCGAGCGCAAAGTTTTTATATTTTTGATTACAGTGAATTAGCTTCACTTACTGGTGTGTACTGACTGACTGTGGCATTCATTTTTCCTGCAGCGACTTGTTTTCCTTTTGGACTCCAGCAAACTGTGTGAAAACAACAAGTACACGAACAACATTTAAGCCACAGCAGAGATACGGAGTAGAGGTAAACTCAACTGATACACTCAGTCTCACTCACTGCATGTGATACCACTGGATGCGGGTAGCTCGGCCTGCACTTTGACACTGTCTGTAACATCCAAAATCATCATGCTGCCATCAGACAGACAGGCAGCCAAAGTGGACGCCTGAGCAGGATTCCACTTGAGGTCCAGCACCACAGTGCCAGAGGGAGCGGCTGCCTGCAGCGATGCAAAAGGTAACTTCTGTTGTCTTGCCTAGAAGAAAGAAAGAAAGAAAAAATGAGAATTCAAAGGGTCAAATTCTTGGTGACTAAGAATACTGAAATGTAATTGATTATTTTAACTATCTAATAGAAACAACCATGAGCATGTCAGGATTTTCTTCACATTAGGAGCAAGTCTGCAGCTGTTGACACGATAGCACTGAATAACAATGTAGGCTTCAAACAGACATTCATTTGTTACAGAGATGCATCAACTCAGTACCACAGATGAGAATGCAGATACATTTTACCCTTATTTTTTCACAGGCATTTCCTGTTCTGAATTGAAGCTTTAGAGCAACATGTTCATGCACAGTAAAGTGAAAATGGCAAATAGATCCTGGCTCTTTATGATTTTTGTAGAACCTGAAATAACAATTATGTGTGTCTCAAAAAATGATGAAATAATCACCTTGTTAATGAAGGTGCGGACATCGTAGAAAGTGAGGGATAAACCCCCCGCCTCAGACATGCCACATACTGACAATGTAAGTTCATCACAGCTGAGAGCTAAGTGATGCACAGCCAGTTCCAACGTCACCTCGGCCAACACTGGTATTCCACTGACTAGAACAAAGAAGAAGATTGGAGTGAATTGTGAGTAGGAGAGCAGAGTGGAAATGATGTGAAAAATGCATGATAAGTAACGATAAAGGAGATGACAATGCAGTGTGATAGTGAACAGATATATTTTAAAATGTATATCTTGTACAGTTGTATTCATACCTATTTCATTGGAGTTGCCATCAACTTTATCAGCAGCCAGGATATCATGTGTCAGGTAAACTTTGAATGTTCTGTTGAGCCCAACATAACTTAAACCATATCTGTTTGAGATGGTGAGCAGATTGGATCTTTCTTTAGGCAAATCCCCAGGAGCATCAAAGACTCTTGCTTTCTTCATCTGACGGAACTGAAAATCCTAAAACACAAGGAGAAGCACTCTTTGTTATTTCATGGTGAAAAGTTAAAGGTGGTACAAAAATATGGCTCCAGCTCAAAAACTGCAACTTAAACTGAACAGAAGATGAACAATCATATACTATAAACATTTTTTTTCTCACTGCAGGGCTTGTGCCCTTTGATACGTAAGGACCCAGTTGAGCGATTCCACACTTACTCACAGAGTACCTTCAAGTTATTGTAATGGTTGACCATATGACCACAACTTATATCAAGAAGAAAAAATCATCAGTCAATTCAGATAATTACTACACTAAAAATCACTCATTATTATAACTTTTGAGTTAAAAGACATATTTTTGCTCCCTGGTGAAAGTTGCAATATTAAACCGTCCTTTACGGGCAGAGAACGACAAACAATTGCTAAACAGATTTTACAAATCTGAGGAAGATAAATTATGTGTTATATCTTCACTATGATTACACAATTCATAAAAAATATAGTGATAATACTTGGACTTTTGTTACAATGCTATTGATGTAATTATATTGCACTATTTAATGATATTGTTTTATAGCCCAGCTCTAAAAGAACTTGCTGCAAAAACTTCTACTGAGACCTTGGAAAACCCTACAGCTCTAATCCTAAACAAAATCAAAATTTGATTGCAGGGAAGTAAAAACTAAAGGAGGATATAAAACTAAAATCGTTTCATATTAATTCTAAAGTGGAACAGGATGAGTGCACATGAAATCATTCAGCTACTTGCTCCATGAATACATGCTGCAAATTGTCCTTGTGTCTTTTTTCAGCTTGGGAGAATTAGATTAAACGTGCAAATGATCACAAAACAAGGACATTTAAAAGCCAAGCATCAAATACTCAGAACCAAAAAAGTAGCTGTACAATTTCGCAAGGTTCTGAGCATTTAATGTAAGTTTCACTGACATGAACTAGGACATGTTCTTACATCTGGGTTCGTTGACATGTGATGACCCAGTTTGTTGACACATAAGACAGCTCACTGTCTCTGACACGGGTCTACGTTGTCCTTCTGCTTGACTCGATTATTCTGACACCGTAAGTGCGCAGAGCCTCAAATCGAAAGTTGGGACTAAATCGAAAGTTAAAAGCAGCAGTGCTTGATTCACGTCAGAGTCTGCATGCTGAAGTGTTTTCGCTGTGATGCTACATGAACTACGGGTCAAGGGTGTTTGTCGGGTCCATTCTACACACAAGCGATTGTTAGTTCACCTGTCATCAAATCAAACGTCAACGAGCACATCAACATTAATGCTAACGACTACCAAGCTAGCATACGAATGTGACTGAACGATAAGTAAACGCTGCTTCTTGAGAGGCATTGAAACATCTCTCTTCCACCATCAGTGAGGTCCGGTTTATAAACGTGGCTCTGTGAACACCTCCAGGTTGCAGTGAAGTTAACAGAAGACCTAAAACCCACCTGCTAGCCGAGGTGCTAAAGTTGAGCTAACCAGAAGCACGGGAGATGAACTGGCATGGTGCTAACAAACATTAGCTGAGACATGCTAACCCGTCGTGACAACAGAGCCTACCTTCATTTCCCTCTCGTGAGGAGAGTCCGTGTCGTCGCTCATTCTGACGGAGAGCGGCCGCTGCTTTACAAGCAACCTGCAGTTTCAGAGTGTTTCTCTCCGGGTGTGGATGTGAAGCAGATTCTCGTTGAGCCACATTGAGCTGAAACTCGGAAACTGTACACACACACGCCGCGGCGCGTTTTTTGGTAAGAAACCTACGTCAGAGCTGCGCAGGACGACGAGTCGACGTCAGAGCGTCCTGAGATCACCGAGCAATGGATGTGTTCTAATAAGCTGCATGGATCAGCACACCTTCTCAACAGGGGGGCAATATCTGGTTTACTGTGCCATGAAAATACACTTATGGCTCCAAGCCATAAGGATTTGTTAAGAAACACTATTTACAAATTCCCCAAATATCACTATAACCAAGTTATTACTCCCCTCATCCGTCCGGATGGGATTAATTCAGTTTGACAATAAAAGTGAGAGGGGACATTGTCACTTAATGGCATTTAAAGTAATTGGCCTCATAATTACTTTTCCCTGTATCCTCATATAACTAAGATCAAATACATCGGGATATCATGAGAGCAATCATTAACGATATCATAAACTCAGTAAATTAATATCTAGAGGTAGAAAAAAACATTTTTGTGACTTTACAAAATAAAATGTAAATACTAGATATTAAAAAGTTATATTTAGTCATTAGACATAATTGCATTGGCTATTGACAATGCCTTTATGTGAACTTGTATGTACTTGAATGTACTAGTGTATAGTCATTCTAGCTAGGTATCACAATCAGAAATATGCATTATTTGTGTCTATTTTTCAATAACTTACAAATTTCCCCACAGAAAATTAGTTTGGATACATTTAAATCAAATACATTTGATTAAATTATCAATTTTTATATATCTTAGCAGAGGTTCTCATACCATTATTGAGAACTTATAATAAAGAATAATAATGATCATTATCACAAATTTTAAATTTACATTTTCCACATGAAATCAAACTTCTGCCAGTATAATGAGTGTTCCAGTTGTTCGCTACATAAGAAAAATGGGGAATTTTCAAATGGGATTCTCTGGTGTAATCCATATTTGGACAAGTGGCCAATCTGCTATGGAGACAAAGCCATTTTAAAGAAATAACTTTATAACATTTAATCAGACATAAGACAGCTGAGGACAGTGTATGGTGAAGTAAGGACTTTTATTAGAAAGCAGATTTTTCTGTATTGCATTTAAAGAAATCATGTACTCTTAGACTACACAACCAAAACTGGTGGTGGCACACAACCATGATGGGAATGAAACGTAGATTCTTATGCAACGTCAAAAGTGGCAACTTGCATTTTTTCTTGTTGTATATATTATTGATGCTTGAGTCGGAAGGCGCATAAACATTTTCAACATTTTGTCATTTTAAACATAAAGCAGTTGTCAACACTGTAAATGTGCCATCCCAGTTTTCCTGGTCCAGGCCCTGTTGATATTGAAGAACATTACCATGATCAATGTGTCAGGTTGCATGATAAGACCCTCTTTTTTTGTCATATTTGGACTGTTGTCCACCAAGAATTTACCAATGAGCCCAAACTTGGGGCTGAGTTCGACCCACGTTCGTCAGAGCATTACAGATATGGTCCATTTCAACATGGAACAGCTCTGTTCACGAAGCACCAAGGTATCAGTCAAACTTCAGTCAGTCCTTGTTGCAGAGACACACACGTAATAAGTATAGAAGGCTGGGGTTAACATCATAATGTCCCCCGACTCTGGGAAAGAGTAAGCGAGCAGAGACCAAAGCAAGCTGGAGAAAGACAAAGCAAATAGCAAGAGCACAGCAACTCATGTCAGATCTCCCATAGTGCACTTTGAGTCTCATCCCATATTCTGATTGTCAGCGCTCTGAACACATGGCTTTAAAAAGTTGCGTTTCCCCCCTCGTTCACCGAACCCTTGGTCGCTCTTTACGTTGTCCCTCTTTTTCTTTCATTTTTCTAAGTAGTTCTAAAGTGCTGGCATTATATTCAAGGACACACACATACACATACTGTATAAACTTTTAGTGCATTTTCTGAGTCTGCTGAAGGTTTCAATGCACAGTCAACTGGGTAGTTATTCTACGTATTCCACTCTTTAACACTACTTTGTCGTCGTTATCACAAGAGGTGATAAATCTTTTTTACGCAAAAACATTCAATAAAAGGCAAGGGTGTGCGGTAAAAATACAAACCCTACTCGTCGCAAGAGTCTTTGTTTGCTAACAGTGACAACAGTTATTCAGCATAAAATACATGGTGCATAAAGATCAGAGGTTTCATCCGGTTAGAACGAGTTTTTCTGAATGGCATGCATTTTATGATACAGGTGTCTCTTTGCATATAAATGTATTGTTTTCAGTCCGACCATTCAAAGAAAGAAAAAACACTATGCCCACATTGTTTTACAATGGGGGATGAAGCGAGCACTATGTAGAGTTTTAGAAAGTAATTAACTATTTATTTGCAAAGAAAATTTGTGTAAAATAGGGTGTTTTCAATCAACAATGCCATCCCATATCTTATAGTGTGGTTTTCAGATCATGCAGGTGAACGGCAGATATTGTAACATATTTCTGTCACTAAATTAAAGAAACAAAACTCTGCTCTCAATGAAAGAAACATGTGCAAAAAATACATTACATACATTTTTCAGGACTTTTTCAATAGAGCTCTTCCTCCCAAGGGTTAGCCATGACATTCTCTGAGAATTTATTTTTTAGTGCAACTTTATTCTTGTTCAAATTCACCCTGCACAAGAAAAAGAAAAAGACCCCAAGCAGGAAAGAAACAAGGAAAATTTAAAAAATATAAAAAAAAAAGGAAATGAATGTTTTTGTCAGTGGACAAACTGGAAACAACTATTCAAAATGTGAATATATCAGGAGACATAATGTAAAAAGTCTTATGTATGTGGGATTTGTTTTTCTTGGGTGTGACTACAATAGGAATCTTATGCTAGATTAATTTTTCCTTTCTTTTGGTGTGAGTCCTGGTTGTTTCCGAATGGCTGTTGAATGTATCCAAGTGCCGTAATTCTGTTCAACTTATTCTAACTGGTGATCTTGCACATTTTCTCCCAAATTAACGACACGATCGCAAACACGAAGTCACAAAATAAAACATAAATTGTTACATATATAATTCTACAAGCAAAGTTTCTAAGAAGCCAATTTAGTTTTAGTAAAGGCGGCACTTTGCCAGTCCTTCGTCTAGTTACTCTCTGAACCTACACGTTCACAACATAACATCCACACCCACACAGTCACAGTCTAAGGCACTGCTCCTCACCCCTTTATCACTATTACTGTGAAGTATATCAGTGTTTCCCACTGCATGTCGTTTAACGCCTCAAATAGCTAAGTAGTTTAAGTAGCACCTGCTTGAAAACAGGCCTTGGATAAACAAATAGGTTTATATTGCAGGGAAATATAAAGAGAGAAAAATAGATTTAATGTATATGACAATTTAACTGCACAGTTAAACATTTATGGTTTAATTTACTAGGGGTGGCATGCTGTATTTTGTAACTTAAAATAATTATTGGAGTTAAATGTGTATGCATTTTGGGGAAGACTGTTACCTCGAATGACAAATAATCACAAGTGCATTAAGGTAGTGGCTTCAACAAGCAACTGAACGCCTTTATTCTTTTATTAGTTTTTTTTACAAGAGCAACTTTAGGAACTGTCGCTTAATAAATTAAAAAATAAGAAATAATTTGCTGAATTTTTAAGAAATCTTCAGTTTTGCGAACACACGTGTCATTTCAACATTAGAGACACAACTGTTGGGATAAAGATAGTATAAACAGTGGTGTAATAAAAGCCTGTACTTGAACCTCGCTCCGTGTCCGCCACAGTGGAAGACCTGTTCAAATAAGTTCTTAAAAAAAATCACAACATCACTAAAGCTTTAGATTAGAACATCATCCAGCCAAACAGCCAGATTAGTTTTATATTATGGCCCATTTGTTTGAGAGTATACAATTGAGGAAAGCAGTGAGTCATACAGATATATAAAAAAGAGATTCAGTATTTTACCATATTCAGTCAAGGCTCAGAGCCCTCACCAAAGCAGTGCTACAGTTTACATTCATCCATCATCTCAGCCATTCTGTCACAGCCCTGTTTTATCGATGGCAGATCACATTTTTCCAACAAAAAAAAAGAAAGAAAAAGAAAAATTGTAAACGTCATTACTATTATAACCTAGTGCAATTTTAACCCTGTGTTTCTTGTGCAGGGCCATCTTAAAGCACCCACCCCCCCAAAAAATAATAAAAAGATTTGTAGAACAGACAGAGAATAATCTGGCCCAACCTTCGAAGTGACACAGCACTGATGTTTCCAAAATATGCAGAGGGCAAATATTCTGTATTTTCTGCCTATTATATTTTTCAACCACAGAATTCCTTGTATTTTTCCCTAAAAAAATGGCATTGGCTTATAATTACTTTGGGGTTAATACATTGACTGGATTCAATAGTCTTTTCTCGTGATTAAATCTCCAGGAAAACTTGGAAAACAGAAATAAACTTTTCACAAAACAAGAAATAAAGGCTGCTCGGACTGCGTCCTTACATGTGGCAGAAAGCGTGAAAACATATTAAAGAAGAAAAGAAAAATGTCTACGACAAGACAAATACAGGTTTACGTTGCTGTTTGACATTGCCTTGTAACATCCCCGTCCCAAATTTTGTTTAGAAACAGTCATTGTCAGAAAGACCATTTGGTTTTTTTCCCCCACAATACCCAAAATCGAATAAATAATCAGGATGATGTGGAGGAAAAAAATATTCAGTCTTTAGTACAGTCATATTTCGGCAAACTCCTTTGTCTCCAACCTTTAACCTTTGTTTTCAATTTGAGTGCAAATGCAATAAGCCAGCAGAAATTGCTCTTATATGTTTTATTCAATAACTTACCCCCCGACATCCCTCCCACCCCCCTGGGGGACAAAAACAGGACGGAAGCAGGACGCTGTAGTATCGCACCACATCAAGGTAAAACAGTGCCTCTCTATGGCATGTTTTATTTCTTCTACCACTTGGTGTAGTGCACGTCAGTCTCCTCTACCTGTGGTGACAGAGCGCTCTGCACTTAAAAGAAAAAAAAAAGAAAAAGAATCCAACCAGTACTGTGTCAAACACAGTCACTTCTAGGTAACATCTGAATCAGTTCTAACATGTGTCAGACTGTGGTCTGTGAGAAACGTCCCAGTGAGAAATGAAAAAAGGAGTTCTTTTGCGTAGTGATGGTATCTCGAGGCAACAGTAGCTGTTTTTCATTTCTATGCAGGTTTGTGGCGTTGTTGTTGTTTTTCCGTAATTTCTCTGTATCCGTTGTTTGTATTCATGCATGCAAGCTTGGATTGTAGGGCTTGTTCTTGTCCGTGTATCTTCAAGACAGAATGATAACTGGTAATTGAAAAGGATTCTTCAAAGTTAAAAAGCATTGTTACGTTATTGTATTTTCTTTGAATGGTTTATTCAATGCATTGGTGCAGATATTAAAAGGCTATTATCTTAAATGTGTGCACACGTGTGTGTGTGTGTGTGTGTGTGTGTTGGTGTGTGGTAAGCGAGGGCTGTCTGAAGCAGACACAGGCATCACATTGACAATCTAATCCAATGTGTCATGGGAAAGTATGCATGAAAAAACAAGTCCATGTGATAGATTATTAGGTCGATTGCAGAGAAGTCTTTAACTTTCCCAGAAAACCCTCTTTTCTCGTCTTTATCATAAAAATGTCTTCCTCTTTTTAACAGGAAATGAAAATTGTTTAGTTCAATTGTGCTAATTCAGTGCTTGACCTTTAATTGCTTATTACGAGAGCTGTCTCTCAGATTCGTTTCTCCCAAGGTTACATGGGTTTTTTTTCAGAAAACGGAATGATTTTAAAAACCATCATATCGCACTCCGTGAACTGCCAGCAAACAAGTGCTCTTCTGTGCTGCCATTTGTTCTGGTATCAGGCCTTTGTGATATTGCTGCAGGAGCTGAAATACTGAGTATATACAGCACATACGAAGAAGAGGGCGGAGCAGAAATCATTGATTTGCCCGATGTGCTAACGCCATGCCTGTGTCTACTTCCACTATCAATTAAATGCATGTGTACACAAGCACACGGGTGCGCATGCATGTGTGACAAATTTCTGTTAGCGAGATCTACGAGCGCATCTTGTGTGCTGACGATTCCTGTTGAGGAAGCACAGAGGAGAAGTAAGAGCGCTGGACGAGATGCAAGCAAAAGAAAACAAGGTGTTAAAACAGATTTCACAATGTGTGAGGCAGCTCCCAACAAGGGACGTTCACTGTCCATTCACCCGCAGACCTTGTTCAAAACTTTCCACTTCCTGCTCCGGCGGCGTGTCTCCACAATTGCCAGCCTCAGCACCTGGGATCAAAGTCGGTGCCCCAAGTGATGCATCAACACCTTCTAACCCAGCTTCATCCTCATCTTCCTCTTGCTCCTCCTGCGCAACTCCTTCGCCTTCAGCCTCAGCTCCAGCTGCCCTGGACCCGGGGCTGCCCTCTGTGAGCGGTGGGTGAGTCCTTAGAGGGTCCTTACGATCTGGATAATACCTTTGCTCTAGGTTCTTGAAGTCGGGCTCGAAAGGGAGGGATACCCCTGGTTGAGAAGCACCCAGTGCCAGGCCAAGACCCACAGCAGCACCCATGCCCATTCCTGCACGGTACACTTCCATTCCATCAGGCAGCATGGACTTGATCTTCGGCAACCATCGCTTGCGCACGCGTCTCGCGTTTGTGCACATGTCGGCAGCAATCACATTCATTTCACTCTCCTTGAAGTTAGGGTTGAAATTCTGACAGTAGACTGTAAAAGAGAGAAAAATAGCAAACTGCATGTGGGCAAATTGTGCTCTTTGGAAATTCTGTCAAATTTAAATGAAATGATGGGGACAATAAACCTACGTTTTACAGCGTTGAGGACCCTGCTGTCTAGGGGTTTCCTACTGGGGTCACTAGTAGAAGAACGGATACCTGTCCCACAGCTATTGGCTAAAGTGTTTCTGCAAAGATACAGAATCAACACCAGGGGGCAGAGTCAGCTACAGGCACATGCAGTTGGCAAACATGGGAACACATAACTAACTGCATTGCACAAACATGGCCACAGATGGAGTGTGAAAGTTGGTCTGTGACAACTGCGGTTGTGTTGGAGTCATACACACGGACTCGAATATCACAGTGGGTCCTTAAAGACAACACCAGACATGTTCTCTGTAGTCTTGATACTCACCGATCAAAGAAGGTAGCTAGCAGACGGCGGAGCAAGACTTTGTGTTTGATACCAGCACATAGATGACAGTTCATCAGCTGGCCTCGAGTCATGAACACCTGTGTACCTGTGTGGTTAAACAAAAAGGCAATCTATTAAGAAACACACACATTTCATCATCTTTAGACCTTATCATTTCTCTTTTTGCCCTAACCACCATTTCATCTTCTACTGCATTTGAAATTCCTGTTCAAGGAGATGTTTTATGGAGCCAGAGAATCATATACTGAAAGGAAAAGAATCAAAGCTGAAGGCCATAAAAGCATAACCCTATTAAATTCCTTGGTTTCACTTCCCTTAAAATACGGTCTCTTTTAAATCCATGCATTGTTTTCTGCGTCTAACTTAAAGACCAACACATCTCAAATGTGTTCCATTCCTTTTTAAATTAAATTGCATTAGGATCTGATTGAAGCGGATGAACTTCAGACAGCTTTGGATGTGCACAGATTGTGTTCGACTGTTCTTTTGTGTGAAAAGATTCAACATGAAATTGATTCAACTTTTTTTTCCCATTGAAAGAATGATATTGCTGTAGCTACATGTTGAGCGGTGCCGCTGCTCTCTTTGAACAGCTCTGGTCTGACAGCCAAGAGCAATATCTGGTAGTTCCACCAAAGAGTTCAGTTTTTCTCTCATCGAAACAAAGAATCTTTTCCCTCGTGCTCTCGGAGCCCTCGAAGGGCCATTTGGCAAACTCCTGGCAGTCGTATGTTTTTACTCCAAAGTGACTTCTGTCTAGTCCCTCCACCACAAAGGCCAGATTGACGGCGGCTGAAGAGATGGTCATCCTTTCTGTTACACTCTTCAGTCTCTACAGAAGAAAATTGTGTATCTTTGTGTTCTCCACTCAGACATGGCACAAAGGGTCAAACCTGAATGACTAAATCATCTGACCCGGGATTGGAAATAAATAGTAAAAGTTTTTATTAGAACTGCGGTTTCTTTCCTTCTGGTCAAAAGCAATTTGCATACATTAGTCTGTTGGATATAAAGGGATTTAAGAGCAGTCACTGTTACCTCTGCAATCAAACATCTTTGCCCAGTAATACCTCTTTTACACAAAATTATTTTTGTAAAAAAAAATTGTAAACATTCCCATTGCAGACAAAATCCTGATGTTGGTGTGTATTGGTGTGTTTTTTCACTAATGGAAAAGGGGCTTTACATATTTTTGGGGTGGACACCATATTGATGGAATTCTTCAACCATTGAAATTGATTTAATCAGTTAAATTCAATTTAGGCTGGGGCGTAATAGCAAGAAGGTTCCTGGTTAGAACCCAGAGTTTGCATGTTCTCCCTGTGTCTGTGTGGATTTTCTCCGGGTGCTACTGCTTCCTTCTACAGTCCAAACACATGCAGATTGGGTTAGATCAACTGGAGGCTCTAAATTGTCTGGAGATGCAAATGTTAGTGTTTATAGTTTGTCTATGTATGTTGGCCATTCCCCACCTCTCACCCAATGCCAGCTCTGATTGGCTCTAGCCACCCCCTGTGATCCTCAAAGAATAGGCGGTATAGATAATTGATTGAAATTTAATTTGACAGCTATTGAGTTTCAAATGATCTAAATGTGGATGAATTGTTGAGGAATGCACACTCTTACCAGCTACCAATTCCAGCTTCTCCCCAGGGTCCCCCTCTGTGTAGAGCTTCGGGTGGCAGCGGTAGCCTATCTGGCTGATGAGGCTCGCAGGCAGCGCCACCAGGTCCCGGCGGATCAGAACACAGTTGCGGTTCTCCAAGGCCAAGGGCACCACTGCCATCTCTGGCTTGTCCTGGACTGATAAAAGAAAGCAGGAACAGAGAAGGTTCAAATAGGGTTAAAAAAAACTGAGAAGGGTTACGCAGACTACAAACTCCATCAACAAAGTTCTACTATCATCCGTAACCTCTGCATCCCCTATTCAGATAGAACCATTTAATTAGGGACGCAGGTTGGTGTAATCTCATACAAGACTGTTGTGTTTCATAAATGTTTTAGAGCTTTGCAGATGTATCCCAGATAAGTCATGATGCTGCATCAGCAACTTGAGTTTTGGAGGGGGACAGATCCAAAGCGGGGTGTTAGGTTCTAAATCGCAAAATTCCTTCCTCTAACCTCTAAGATGACTCACGAGTGTATGCACATGCACGCACCTCTCTCTTACACACACACGTACACACACACACACAGGAGAGGAGAGAGAGACGTGAATGGTTCTCAAATATCCCACAATGTCACCCTGGGGTGCTCTGAATGATTGCAGATAGAGTGGATTTCATAAATATCTGAAACTCTAGAATTTGACAAACCTGCATGATGCCTTTGAGCTGCAGGATGCCAAGAATGACAGAAAGTGTGTGTGTGTGTGTGTGTGTGTGTGTGTGTGTGTGTCTGTGTGCACATGTGATTTTGAGTTTGTGACTATCCATCAGTGTCCAGCTTGCACGTTCATGTTCATGCAAACACGTGATTATAGCTATTCTGCGTACATGTGTAGGCAAATGTACACCAACATGAGATGATGAGAGTACAACCAAACAAAAAGCAGCACAGTCCAGTTGTGATAAGGAGTGTGTTGTTGGTCACGATGCACTCCAATCATAACTCCATAAAGCTATCTTTATGCTGAGAGAACCCACACACACTGGAGGCACACAACATCCTGCTTATTCAAGATGAGCAGGATACATGATTTATGAAAGATTAAATCATGGAACTGGGATGAACTTAATGTGGATCAGTTTTTTTGGGTAAAAACATATCAAGTCTGGGCAAGGAGCAACAAAAGCAAATTTTCTGAATATATATATTTCTGCAAGTCATGCCCACTTTTACTTTTAGCTTTGTCTGATATCAAAGACATTTTGTGTATCTGAGCCAAGGGCAATTATGAAAGTGATGCACTTAGTCAGATTTTACATGACTGGAAAGACAAACTCGATGAAGGATTGTCATATAGACAGAATTTGGTCATTTGTCCAGTTTTTCCTCTAAACAACTTTTATATATTGGACTTATGAGTGGAAAAGGGTAGTGGACTAAAGTATTGTTGAGTTTTTTGTGAAAACAACATCCTACATTCAAGTAAGATTTTGATTATGATAAATGAGATTCCATCTTTGGCTGTTCAAATTAATTTAATACTCACTCCCATAGGGGTTCGCTGAACGTCCATAGAGATGGCTGTAGGCATCCTCTGTCATCCCATCGTAGGGCTCTTCCTCAAACTCCTCATCCTCATTCTGGTAGGATGTTGGACTGTCAGTGGTGGGCAAGCTGGATGCTCCAGGACTGGACCTTTCTACTCCTGCTCCTCCTCCGGCTCCACCTCCGCCAGCCCCTTGAAGGTGGTAAGCAGGCAAACCGGGGACTGGGGTCCCTCCAGCCGTCGTGTAGAACAATGAACTCGCCCTCGCCAGCCGACTCCCCAACTCCGAGGACGAAATCTTGCTTTGTATTGAGGGTATCGTCAGGGGTGTTGGTTCGCCCCCTTCTAGTTTAATCTTACGCTGTGACAGGAGCAAGGATTGAGACCAACCAGGGGTTCCCAGCAGAGCGGCCACCGCCAGGCCGTTACCATTATTAGAGGGACTCTGTGGTTCGGAACATGTTTCCTCTAAGGACCCTGCTGTTTGCGAGTCACAGTGAGGTGAGTTGGCTTTGAACATTAGGTCCATGCCTCTTTCAACTATATGCTGAATTTGGAGGTAGCCAGCTGTGTACATGACCACCAGCTGTTCGCTAGCTGCCATTGTTAGCTTCCCTGTGTAGCAGAAAGTGAGGATCTGCTCAAAGCAAGCAGGTGTGACTGAGGAGGGCAACTCAAACTGGGTCTTGGTGGAGCTGCTGAAGAGGTCACGGAAGTAGAGGCTGCTGGCAGCCAAAACGGCCCTGTGGGCTTTAAATGCCTGACCTGGTTGATGGAAATAACAGAGAACAGAAGAAGTTGAGAATTAATGAATTTAAACGCTGTGTCAAAGTTTTGCAAATCATATCAAATCTCCAGATTTCCTACTATTCTACCTTTGACCAGGATGGATACATCACAGTAGTGTCCCAGCAGGCGCTGCTCATTGAGGGAGCCGAGGACCGTGGCTCCAAAGTTGGGTATCTCCACATGGAGCAGCTGGGACATGTTGGCAGAGAGGCAGATGAAGATGGGGGCTTCAGATATTCACTGCAGACTCTGCCACTGAGAGAGGCATCTGTAAAAAAAAAAAAACAGAGATGAAGACATTGGAGAGGAGAAACACTGTGATAAAAGGAGTGAATAGAAAACGTGTAAAAGGTGAATAGATGTGCCAGGAGGAGGTAAGAGAGGTGAGAAGGAAAAAGATTGAGAGTCTCGAAAGGAGTAAAGACCAAGGAAAAGAAAAAAAGGAGTTGAGGTGAAGTGAGAAAATGAATACAGTTGAGGGAGAAGTGAGAGGTGTGTGAAAGAGAGATGAATACGTATGCGGAGAATGGTGGGTGAGAGATTAGAGGCGGGAGAGAGAAAGGAGGAGTCAAGTCGGAGCAAGAGGAAAAAAAAATCCTAAATAGAATACAGTGCCGTGCCTACTGTACACGAGAACAATGTGAAATGCCTCAATGCTATGTTGTATAACATGGTTTAAATTCCAGGAACCTGGATTCCAGGTCTGATTCCATGCATTGCACTTAATGAATCAACAACAGTTCTCCTGTAGACTCTGATAACCTGTAAGACGCCCATAACAACAACTTTCTTTCTGCCTTCTCTCTTTTCTCTCTGCGAGAAAACCAAACTGAATCAGTTTAGAGATTTATTCTACAATCTATATTGTTGTCAGACACACAACACACACACACACACACACACACACACACACACACACACACACACACACACNCACACACACACACACACACACACACACACACACAACTTCGTATTTACACCTTCTTTCCTTCCCTGAACCTTGTGTCATTGTTTTTTTCTCTTCCTCCCCACCAACCAACCCACTCACACATACACACACACATACGCACTAGTTTCACTATTAAGAAATGCTGCAGAACAGTTTCCAGGAATACAAACAGAAAAAGTCACCCACCCCCCCACCCCCCTCTCTCACTCACACACACACATACACACACACACACACACAGAGACACAAACACACACAAATGTGTGCACACTCGCACTCCCACTTCATGGACTCCATACAGGCAGACATGCACAGGCTCACTTACATAAAAGCGTGCATGCATGAACACATACAGCCCGGGCTGCATGAGGGAGATGACTGTGTACTCTGGCACGCAAGCACTCACCTGGAGAAGCCAGCACATGACTTTTCCTCTGCTAACACAAACACACACACACAGACACACACACACACACACACACACACACACAGACACACACATAAAGAAAGTGCTATCCCAGACAGTTCAGACCTGTGTTAAGCCAGTCCTGCGGTTCAGACACACCATGGAGCCTGGACACACACAAAAACACCAACACCGGCAGCAGCAGCAGCAGGAGCAGGAGCAGCCGGGACCAGGACAGACGAAGAGTAGTTAAAGAGATGGAGGGAGAGCACTCTGATGTACTCCGTCTGGTCGACTCTCTCTTTTCACTTAAAGTGTCATTCCCACTGTTTCAAGAAGACGATCCCCCACTGCCGTCTGACTGACTTTTTCTCTCTGTCTGTCTTCACACAGCCCTATCTTCTATCTCTATATCCTCCAAAGCCCCATTCTCCCTGCTCACTGTCTGTTCTAGTGCCGTCTCAAAGCCTCCCTCCACCTCCCTGTCATTATCTCTCCCTCTGTTTCTCTCTCTCTCTCTCTCTCTCTCTCTATTCTCCAAGGGTTGAATTCAACAAGTGCCGCTGTAAGAGAGAGAGAGAGCGAGAGAGAGAGAGTGAGAGAGAATGGGGGGGAGAGAGAGAGGAGCAGAGCGAATCAATGATGAAAGGAGTGGGAGGCTCGGTGCGCGTGCGTGTGTCTGATCAATGCAGTATCTATACGTCGCAGGGAGTGGGAGGGAGAGAAAAACACAGGCTACAGTTACAGACAGAGACAGAGACTGGGCAGAGCTACAGAGCGAAGGGAGGGAGGGAGGGAGGGAGTGAGAGAGGGAGGGAGGGGAGAGTTGAGACAGAGAGAAAGTCATTTGAGGACAGTACGAGCAGAGAAAGACAATTAGGTTGAAGCAACTTCTGCCACTTTGCCCCCCGGACACAGATGCCTATATGGTCGGAGCAGACAGAGCATGGGTGACTAAGACAAAAAGGAGAAATGAAAAGAGCTCACCATGGTCACCGCTGCCATTAATTAATTAGACAATGAATAGTGAAACTTCTGAAAATCCCTTGTTTGACGCAAGTCTGGAGAGAATGCGTCACTTGATCGTCTTGGTAAAGCAAACTCTAACCGACTTGGAAGCTTTAATATATACACTGCAGTGATCCTCTAATCCGAGCTATTTAAGAATTAAAAAGGTTAATGAAAAACACAGTCTGTCATTTCAAGGTATTTCCCTATTTTCTTGCAGTACAAACAATAGGGTTTTTTTTTAAGACATTTTACTTTTGAGCAAGTGTTGTGTATTTTCTCTGAATCATGCAAAGACCTCTCTGCCAAACACCTACACACGAGCAGAGAGAAGTTCTGTCTTCATGGAAGACTGTTTGGTAGATGAATTGATAAATTGAATGATTAATTTATGCCCCCGCTTTGGTGGCTCAGCTTATGCAGGTTTATATTTTATGTGTTTTCATGTTATACTTTTTTGACCAGCTTGTGGAAAGGGCCTCCCTAAAATGTGGCTTGACGTGGATGAGAGAGGACATGGAGCCAGATATGTCACAGCCTGTGACGGGGAAGGAAAGACAAAAGATAACATCAAGCAGAGAGGATAATTTCCAGAGAGATGTGTGTGCAAGGATAAGAATACCGAACTGCTGTAAGTGCACAGTATACAGGCATACACACATGCACATGTTGTGTAATAGCAGTAAAAAACTAGTGTGGGAAGTTTTCTGCATTTCGGATGATGCGACATGAAGACAGTAAACATTTTGGTAAATCATTTCACAATCCCATTCTGTCCTCACACCTCAGAAAACACTATCTGCTAAAAAAAAAATTAAAAAATGCTGATGCAAAGCTTTATTATATCAAGAATGTGGCATCAGAAAGCAGCCAGACACATTGCACTTCTTTCTTTTTTTTGCCAGTCAAACCTCAAGTAGAGAAAGTTGCGCTAAACCGAGCAAACTTTTACTCTTCAGTCACAGTGGAAATATGAAAGGGAGGATATCACAAAGCTCTGAATGCAGTGAGTGAGTCAGAGTTTGCCCCAGCAGTGTGATATCTGCACGGCACATATAGGTACACATGAGTGAGCACCCAACAAAAAAAAAGAGCACAGTCAAACACAAATCCGCAAACAGACATTCCCTGTTCTTTTCCACACGCCAACACACAAGTCAAGGTATCCTGCTCGTGCACACACATTCTCTGTTTGTCTGTCCCTCTGTGAACCTGCCACACCGCTTTACCACCGGTCCGTCCATCACTTATTGTTACTATTGTGTCCTTACATCGCCTCCTGCTTCTCCTCTCTCTCTCTCTCTCGCACTCTCTCTCTCTCCCCGTTCTCTATCCTTTCCGCCCCGCATACCACGTACCCACTGTCTCTCTGCCAATTAATGCACACAGGGCTGCATTGCAGTGAGGCTGGCGCGTGCCACAGCAGCAAAAGCACAGTACAGAGTCTACAGACATGCATGTACGTGCCAGCCGGGCAGAGCGAGAGGGGAGGGGAGGGACGGATGGGTGGGAGTGAGGGAGGGGGGGGTTGAAGAGAGGAAAAAGGGAGGGGGGAGAGAAAGAGCAAAAAGGAGAGTGAACAAGTGAAAGGAGAATATGTCGAGTCAGGCAGACGGCGCGGCGGTGTGCCACACTGCACATATTCACAGGCACACATATGTGGAGGTATATATATATATAGATATATATATC